GCAAATTCGAACTGGAAAGGGGGCAAAATTATTTCGTGGCTAAGCCTACTAATTAATGGCGAGGAAGGGTTATTGCACCCTTGTTACCGTGCATAGTTTGGCACTACAAGGGGGGGGGGATAGCAGAGGCGGGTTTCACAGATGACTCAGGAACGTAGCTAACCCATTTTGCCTGAGGGGGGGTCAAGGTCACGCGTGTGGTGTGTTCTGGGAAGGTGACCGCAATTAACCATGTTATTATCTAGATTTCTCTGGAGGTAACTGTCCCCCCCCCCCCCGCGCGCTAGCTAGGGCACTATTACTGCAATTTAAATGATGATTTACACTTATTTTAAGTGTATTTGCATTTATTAGGATTTTGTTGTAGGCTATAACTCATCCAAATCTATTAGGTAGCTGACCTAGTGACTTAGCTTGCTCCCCAGTGCCAGTGGTCACGTATCATCGTGTGTCACTGTGTGTACGTACGCGTACGTACACGCGTTATCGTTTCGTGAGAACTTCATTTCATCATTACTGAAAATAGCACTTTGATGCGCATACCTGCTACTAGCGATCCCATGATAGCTCCTATGCCGTTGAAGAGATAGTAGAGTGACTGGACCGTCGGTAGGTGCTGTATGCCGAACAGGTCGACCAGTATTGGCGTCTGAATACTCAGTTTTATTCCATAGCTAGCTCCGTACAGAACACAGCAAAGCGAAAACACCCACAGCTTTCCCGCCGCCAGAAACAAGAGGCCGAAGACTCCACCTGCAAGCGTAGCAACGCCGAAGCTGAGCTGACGCGGGAACCACGGTCTGTCGCCTGCGGCCGCCACCAGGAGGCGGGCGATGACGTTGCTGACGTTGAACGCGCTCATCATTAGTGCAGCCAGAGTAAGACTCATGCCCTGCTGCGTGCCGTACAGGACGCAGAACGTCATCAGGATATTTAGACCGAATCCGTACACGAGGTTACTCAGGCCGTGAACTCCGAATTTCACCATGTCGGTCGTCGGCAACATGCACCGTCTCTTCTTGTTTCTGAGTTCGTCCAACGCTTCCTTGGCTGCTTTCGGTACGTCACGCAAGAGGGCGCTCGCTGCTACAGTTTGTAGATACGTGCCAGCGATAATGATCATTGCACCTTCCCAGGTGTAAAGCTCTATGATCTTGACGCACAGTAGAGGACCGGTTAGTGCGCCCAGTGCCGAGACGGTCTGTATGAGACCCGTTGCCAAGGCGCGTTTCTTTTCGAAATAAAGTGCGGCGATGTTCTGCGACGGTGCATAAATCATACCCCTACCAAAGCCTGCAAATGATAAGAATGCGCATAATAATAATATTAATAATTATAATGATGATGATGATGATGATGATGATGATGATGATGATGATGATGATGGTGATGGTGATGATAAAAATAATAGCAATAGTAATAGTGATATTATCAGCAGTGGCAACAGCAAGAATAATAGTAATAAGTATGATCAGAATCCTTTGTTTGTACACGTTTAGTACGTTAGCGACATATACTCAATTACATAATCTATTAATATGAAAAACACAAGTGAGATAATTTCGCACGAGCCTTGACACAAATTATAGTATAATACACAAATAGGTTGCTCCCTCTAACGAATAGAATGGGCTCTATGACAAGCGTGCATCAAGGAATTACAATGTAATACGCCATAATTATATGAATACCGTGCAGAAATGCAAAACCTCACGCACCTGTCAGCATGCCATAGGCACCAATCAACACGGTTAGGTTTTCTGCCCCGTAGCTGAGGCACATTCCGCCCGTAGCTAGCATCCCTCCTGTCACAATGACCAGTCGATACCCATACTCCTCAGCCAATCGGCTGAACACAGGACCTGATCGCATGGTTACAGATTACAATGTGATGCGAGTAGCTCGAGTAATTTCATAACTCGCGCTAAGTATAAACGTACAACAGTGAATGAACAAAGCAGAGTACGCAGGGGAAATAAACAACTATCGTTAGAGCTGGCCGGACGAATAGTATAGTATTAAATGAAAATGTGATTTGCTTGAAAACCAATCGGGAATATTTTACATTTTCCTTTTCAGTAGGTCGAACATTGACTTAAATCGCACCGGTTGTCGTGTAGGCGGGGTGCGAGTTTACTCGTAGATATATAGCTTACCTGCGATGAGTGTTATCCCAGTTTGTAGCGATCCTACAAGCGCAATCACATTTCTCTTCTCCGCAAACACCGTTATAAACTCTACGAAGAGTACCGAGAAACAAGCCTCTGCGTTTCCCAGAACAAATGCATTGATGCAGGAGCCAAGCAGCACCACCCAAGCCCAGCCGTGATCGGTGTGTGTCAGAACCTTGCTAGCCCGACTTCCAGTATTCTTGCTGGCGTCCATGCCCTCATGCTGGCTGCTGTTTGCAATAATCTCGGTGGCTTTGCTGTCGACTGGCATTGTTGTCGTGGCTTTCTCGAGTGCTTCTCCTAGCTCATTAATCTCGGGTAGAGTTTCAGCTATATATATATGTATGTATGTGTATCTCACTGACTATATCTGTGATGAAATTAACCATAAATTCACTAGCAGGTTTCCCATTTGTTGCATGTACTGCGAATACAACCAAAAGCGCATATACAGACTTGTATATAGCACTCCGTAGATAGAGCTGCATTCTACACCTACATCGACTAAGACTGTCGACGCTTTTAGCTTTTACACGTTTTGGCGGTTAGGTAACAGGGGGAACTTGTTTTCATCGTGAGTCTGGACTCTCCGCGTATCAGGGCAAACATCATTGCACGCGGTGCTGCCTTTACTTTTCAACAAGCATTTCGCATTACGCTGTTCGAAAAACATGAAATTATTTTCGCGTTTGTGACATCTTGACGTGCAAAAGTTTTTAAAATCGTCCGTCAATATAAGATAACGGGAGAACTTTTACAAGATAAGAACTGTCAACGAATATATTTTTAGTTGCGCGCTAACCTCTAACAATGTACGTATATTCTCTCGGCAGTAAATATGTTCCCGAAGCTCTTGTCTGGCCGATAGGAAGCATTTCTAACGCAGCATATCGCCGACATGAGGAGGAAGAACCCCGATGGTTAATCGGATTTAGAATTCAAACGCACGCGCGTATCGTGTTGACTGCCCAACGACACATCTCGATGACAGTCGCCTCTTGTCAGGCCTCGACTCCCCGTTAGTTGCCAAAGGCAAAGGAAGTCGGTGCTGGTCGGTGGTCATCGGCAGTCGTCGGTTATCGTCGGCCGTGGTCGGTCATAATCGGTTATTGTCGGTAGTGGTCGGTTACCGTCGGTGGTCATCACTACACGTGCGGGGATATAGTGATTCGACTCTTTTCAATGCAACACTTGTGCCCAAAATTCCTGTTTTGCAAGCTACGATCCTGGTTCGTGCACGCCCAGTATCCGCCGAAATTAACCATATTTTGTTGATATTATTCAAACTAAAATGTGGGTACAGTACCTGCCGTAGTTTGAATGATATGTGTCTATCACAGGCTTATATTTTAAAGTTTACAAGGAGCCAAAAAAACCGGGATAGCTTCATAATGATTCTGGACACGCGTTCTTAGTGTAAATATATCAAGCCAACAACCTATTCCACTTTCAGCAGGCTCTGTGCGTTCAAACCATAGAAATAATATAGAATTATAGAATAATATCTCTCTATATTATTTCTATGGTTGAAACAATGTTGGTATTGGCATTTCTCATGCAGATGGGGCGCGCACCATTTACGGCCGAGTACAGATGAGACTGGAGAATAATGAACACGCATCTAAATACCAAGACGAGTGTCTATTCCTCTATGTTCACTTTCTTTATTTATACCTGTGCCAACTTCACACGCAAGCGTGCGACAACACATGGCCCTGGCTCCGAAAATATCAATGCTTGACCAAGCATAGAGTAGAAGTACAAACTAGCTCTAACCGTGCAGCCCTTCGCTTCCTGTAGCAAAAGTGAAGGGCTGGCTATACGGTAGACACAAGTTACCTTCTCGCTTCTCTCTACTTGGCGAGACATCGTTCGAACGACGTGAAACAGTCGTAGAGCCTGGTCGGGCTAGCTGTACATGTGAAGCTATGATACGAACGTGATAAGCGTTATAGCGGTTTGACAGCTATGCCTTTCTTCTCAGCAGTCTGGTTTTTTTCAATACTTCATTCCAATGCGAGCATCCGTCTGTAATTGTTTTTCCTACATACATTAACGTACTCGCATGTAAATTAAATGTAATAACGACAATATTATTCACACTGCAACTCAGCAAAGTACTTGAGATACGTGCACCTACTCACTGTGCCCATGTCGTGTGTCGTGAGGACTTGTGGCGCTAGACTTAGTTCACAAAACACCACCATGTTATCGAAATGGCGAAACAAAGAGTATTGTATATAGTGTACCATCAGAAATTCGATTACGTACCCGTAACAACTAGGAGGCATATTTGACTAGTTATAAGGTGAGACTGGGTATACATTCATTGACGCTATTAGCAACAATACATACATATACTTATACTTATACATATACTTACGAGAGAATTACCATCTTTCACATACTGATTCGAAGTCTTGACTTCTCTGGATACTACCGTTAATATGAAACAGTATACGTAAGTAGCAACAGTACATTTTCTCACCCACACTCATGAACAGCTAATAGGTTTAGCCAGTGACAGCTCCAGAAAATGTGTAAAAACGTGATTGTTTGCATTTTCACATAGCTTCCAGAAGTTTGAATCACTATGTGCATAGACAACAATACACGTTCTATTGTTTGATGTGTACAGATATTGAATATAATACTTACAACTTTTAGACTAGAAATCAATGGCGACATAACACGTGTGACCGTTCGGCTCTCATACATCTGACTGCCACCTATTTATGAGATTCTCACTTCAACACCTACATGAGACTAGTCGATAACTTAGCATTCCCATCACTAAGCCTTGATAAACGATATGTCTATCTTAACCAGCTAATACTTTAGAGCACAAAAAAGACACAGGTGACACTTGCTTTGCTATCTAAAAATGTACACATGATGCGAGCGTAGAAAGAAAATGTGCAAATATATCGAAACCACGCGCTCTTTAATTACCGCGTGCAGCGCCGCGCGTTCCACGAACGCTCGCGCATCTACTGCAGCAAGTGGTCGATGCCGAGACTATTTCTCTTGCTCTTTTTACTGCCCTTCAAGCCGCGTGACTTGAGGCTGGCGCCGCGGCTCGACCGGAACGGCATTCCGCCGCCCTCGGCGGCGTACGTCAGGTAGACGCCAGACAGGTCGGGCGCATACTGCTCGGGTGGCGCGTCGCGGCCGCCGTTCGCCGGCTGCTTGCGCATGTTGTTGCCCGTGTAGGCGACGCACTTCAGTTGCCACTCGCCGATGTCCTCGTTCCAGTGTACGTGCTCGTCGATCGTCTCCTGGTACTCGGCGGGGATGAAGCCGTCAATGACGAGCATCTGCAGACGCAGCTCGCGGCTCAGCTGCCGCACGTTCTCGAGCAGGCCCTCCATCTCGCGCTGGTGCTCCTGCTGCTGGTCGCCGAGCTCCGACTTGGCACTCATCAGCATCGTCCACACCTTCTTCAGCTTCTTCGTCTTGCCGGCGGCCTCCTCCTGCAGGTTTGAGTACTTCTCCTCGATGTCGAGCCGCTCGGCCTCCTTCTCCTGCAGCGCGAGCCGCAGCGCCTCCTCCTGGCGGCAGCGCTCCTCGAGCTCGCGGGCGCTCTCCGCGAGCAGCCGCTCCTGCTCCTCGGCCTTCTCCAGCAGGTTCTCACCGCCGACGATGATCTTCTTTTCGATGGCCTGCAGCCGGTGGACGAGCTGGTCGTGCTCGCCCTGCGTCTTCTGCAGGTGCTGCTCGCGCTTCTCGAGGTCGGCCTTCATGCGGTCGCGCTCCTCCTCCTCCATGTCCTTCTTCTCGGCGAGCAGCTTCTTCTCCGCCTCGATCTTCGCCTGGATCTCGGCGAGGCCATCCTTCGAGACGCGGTTGCTGCGGCGACGGCGCCGCCGCTTCTCGCCGCCATCGCCCGTCTCGACGTCGTCGTCGTCGTCACCGCCGCTGTCGTCGCCGCTCGCCTCGGCGCCGCTCACGTCGCTGCCCTCATCGAGCTGCCGCTTCAGCTGCTCGATCTCCTCCTGGAACTGCCGCAGCAGCGCGTCCTTCGGGTCCTCGTTGATGCGCGCCGTGTTCTGGATGTTCTTGGCGCGGTTCGCGTATCGCAGCGTGCTGATCGACTCGTCGTAGTTGTAGTCGGCCGGCCCGATGTTGGCGCACATCACCGTCTTCGAGTTGCCGCCAAGCGAGTCCTGCAGCAGGCGCGTCAGCTTCGAGTTCCTGTACGGCACGTGCGTGCTCTTGCCGTCGACGAGCGCCGAGATGACGTTGCCCAGCGTCGACAGCGACAGGTTGATCTTCGTCGCTTCCTTCAAGCGCTGCCCCGTCGCGCCGGTCTTCGACTGCCGCTCCGAGCCGGCGAGATCGACCAGGTGCAGCTTGCCCATGACGAGGTGCTGCTCACCGTCCAGCCCCTTCTCGCTGCACTCGAGTATCGCCGTGAAGATGGCGTGCGATCGTGAGCTGACGGCGTTCATGTTGGTCGCGCCGACAACGCGGTTCTTGTTGCCCATCGTCATGATGCGGTCCATGTCGTCGGCGTTGTTCACGACGTAGGCGGAGAGGTCGCGAACGTAGACGCCGACGTCCGGCCGCTCCTTCACCTCCAGCCGCACGTTCTGGTCCTTGTTGAGCAGGTCTCTCACCTCCTCGTTGTATATCTCGAGATACGACACCCTGACTAGAAACTTCTTGTCCTCTTCGGCCTTGGCGATGTGACCGAAGATGTGCGCAAACGAGTTTGGAATTATGCCGCACAGTTCCGGAACAGTACGGACACCCTCCATAGTGAACGTTTTTCCCGTACCAGTCTGACCATATGCAAATATCGTGCCATTATAACCTTCAAGCACAGAGTCTACGATTGGTCGTGCTGTCTGATTGTAGATGTCAACTTGCTTAGCATCGGGCCCAAAGACCGTGTCAAAGGTGAACACTTTAGGTGGCTCACCGGCACTGCTATTTGGTGTAGACACGGTGACTCTCCCCTGCACTTGCTCCACCTTTACAATCTCCTTGAAACCAGTTTGTTTCTCCTTCTCATTCAATGGACGACACCGAACCACGACCTTGACATTCTCGGATCCTTTGTCCGAAGGCATTTTGAGGAAAACTAGTGAATACACTTGCAAGTGTAAAGCAGTATTCTTAGAGATTCAATGATACACGTCCAAAGTGTGCTTTCTGGATCTTTTCTCGGTGGAAGACGTCCTTATTCCCAAGCAAGTTTGGTCGTCAACACATTTCTTGTCGACACGTTTCTAGAGCAATAAAAATTAGGTGCGCTTATGAATGGTAAAGAATTTCAAGAGTAGCAGTAACTAAACTAGTTTGCAATGAGATTGTATGTTTGAGGTTACACAGCATCTAAAATTCTAAGTACAATTATTAGGGCTGAGAGGGTCAATGTCCCCCAGGGTCAGCGTTCAAAATTGGTGCCGACCCGGAGGCCCGAGGCCACCAAATTTTTGCTTTAGCCACCATCTCTACGAAACTGCTGGTCCTCCTGACCGGCACTTTTTCCCCTCATATTATGCTGAAATACTACGGTTATCGCAACGGCTGTTTAGACAGACTTGTAAACGGGAGCACATTCTAATATGCTCCGTTCCTGAGCGTAGACGGGGTATCCAAAACATCTAGAGCCGAGGCATGAACTCCCTCAACGCATGATTCCCACACCGAACAAAACCTGCTGACAGCTCTAAGAAATCGATTGCGGCATGACCCCAGTGTTGTTTATGGACCGCATAACAATAAGTTCATATGCCGAGGGGTCTTATTCGTGGGAGTGAGAGCACGACAGTGATACCTGAACACGCCGCCTAATCAAAGCTGTTAACTGAATTCGTCACTTTTGTTACGTGAAAACCAGCCGGGCACAGGACGTCATCCGGACGTCTATTCGAAGTCTTATTTTGGTCAGACGTCACGTGACCACATTTAACGTCTTCTAGACGTCTATACTTGGTCAGGCTAGAAGACGCTCTATTAAGGAAAAACCTGACGTCCTACAGACGTCTAACTTGTGCGCAGCTAGAAGCGTCTCTATAAGGAAAAAACCTCGACCGTCTTACAGACGTCTAATTGGTTGTATTCACACTAATTTTATTCACATTCACGCGGGTCGCGACACATTAGAGCATGTACATCCGTGAATACACGTTACGGCACGCATACCACGGCACACACACTTGCGCGCGCACACACGCACACACACGACAAACACAAACACACGCGCGCGCACGCACGTACGCACACACGCACATACACAAACACACACGCGCGCGCACGTACGCACGCACGCACACACACGCTTGCGCGGCGCAACATGTATTATGTTGGTCGTACACCAAGGCGCGGCTGGGATAGTGAACTACGCGTACACACATAACTCGAATACAGAACTCGATCGCCCTGGCACGTACGTTCGCGATAATAATATTATTACCTCGCGCTGATTATCTAGTCTGGAAACTGGGTCGCGTCCTATTAAGCGTGCTTCTGATAACGTACAGCCTATAACGGGCAGGAGCCAGTCCTACGCTTAGCGCGCGTAACTGTATACGGACGCCGTACGAGTGGCGAACTATTAACGGTCAGAAACGTGTTCGAATTGCGAGCAAGCCGGCCGTGTCAGAGGCACGGAGTATATTGAACCAAGGTAAATATATATGTTGTATTTCTCCTCATAATAGTTATTATACGAGTTTCTCTGGTTAGCGTATGCTTATTGTTATGTTATGAATTGGCTAAAATAAATTGCCTCCATACAGCCTGCATTACCGTTGTTTCAGACTGACTGAGTTGGTTATATAGGCACTGTATATTAGCTCTAGCTAGAACTATAGCTTTCATTCGCCTCTCGCCACAGGCGTGCGACACTCACGCCTGTGGGCTAGATACAATAATGTAACCCAAACCCAGGATAGGGTTAGGGTTTGGGTTACATTATTGTATCTAACCTGTGGGCCTGTGGCGGAGCGAAGGGCTATATTTCTAGAGCTAGGCACTGTATAGATACAATAATGTAACCCAAACCCAAGAGGATAGGGGCCTATCCCCTAGGCCCTTCCTCTTGCCCTATCCCTAGGACCCTATCCTCTTGGGTTTGGGTACATTATGTATCTAGTATCGACTGTACGCGGGCTATAGTACTAGAGAGCCTAGTATCGAGTGCGCGCGCGCGCGTGTGTGTGTGTGTGTGTGTGTGTGTGTGGTGTGTGTGTATGTGTATCGTGTGTGGTGTGCCGTGCTAGCTGCGCGCTCGTTTATGTGATGACGAGTCACTACCAGCAGAATCGAGTGCGCCCCCTACATGAATTATGCTAGTTCAACTGGCTGGCTGCTTCTATTTGGAACAGACTGATTGCCTCGCAATTGGAACTTCTGAACTCTCTTGCTCTACTGAGAGCTTGACTGTGAAG